TCGGAAAAAGTTACTCTCCGAATAAAAACAGTAATAATAAAAAAAAAGAGATATTTTAAAAAAAAAAAGAAAAAAAAAATGAAATGAAAAAATTGGGTCAAGTGATGTTGCAATTCGATTAGAGCAGTGATGTGTTGTTTGTGGAGTTGTTTAGTGGATGGTGATGTGCTATATTGTTCATTCCAGTTTGGTAGCGGAGAACTCGAGTAATTTATTTGCTCGAGAATTTTGTTGTTTATTTGAGCTTCTTTTCTGGCATATATATATCCTTCCTTACACCTGCAATACAACCCGTGAAGTCCTCTTGATTCGCAAAATTTTGAGCTTTGATTGTCTTCGAGTAATTTAAACGATTGGCAAGCATATGTTGAAACTTGAATATTGACCAATTTTTGAGCGTACCTATCATATATTCATGTAAGAAAATGAGTGAGGCATATATGATGATCTATGTTTTGAGAATTTGTCATTTCGGGGTCAAGTTGGTATTTGAGGCATATGGTCGTGCGGTCGTTGGAATTCGACTCAATTGAATTGGGCATTTTGAGACACTTCTTATTTGAAACCATATTCATGCTCGTGTCTTGTTTTCTTTTCTTTTTGTTCGGGACGAACAAAGGCTTAAGTGTGGGGGAGTTGTTTGTCCCATTTTTGTTGCGTTATTCCTTATTATTTTTCCTTTCTTTTTCCCCATATTTGGTCTTTTAGTTAGATTTTAGTCCATTTTGTCGTTTATTGTGTGTTTTTCTCCGTTTCGGTCTTTCTTTGTGTTTTCCGTATATTTTTCCGGTTTTCTTTCGTTTTTAGTGTGCAGGTTGAAAATCTCGAGAGGACCAGATTTCAGGCAAACATTGACCGTGCTTGCATAATTATATTGAAGGTTTCGTTGGCAACGAGCAGAAGAAAACGGAATCAAATTCTGATGCCAAACGAGCCCGAACGACTCCAAAACGTGAAGACGAGCAAGGCGGTCCAAATACCAGACCCAGGCGTCGCGCCCGCTCCGCGCCGCGATGACCACCGCGAGGCCATCAGAGGATTGTTTCAGGTCCACGCGCCGCGGCGCCCGTCGCGCCGTGACAGCATACTCCCCCGCGCCGCGGCACAGCGCCGAGCCGCGACATCCGGCACCTTCACGCCGCGCAAGGGCGACACGCCGCGACTGAAGAACCCTCCGCGCCGCGAGCTCCATCCACGCCGCGACAGATGTTCCCAAACAGCACGTCGCGAAGTGCTTCGCGCCGCGCCACATGAGCTCCTCACGCCGCTGCTGATCTTCCGCGCCGTGATGCACCATTAATATAAATACGTGCGGGACTCTTCAGAAAAGAAAAAATACATCTCGACCGTGGGTGAAAACCCTAGGTCCCGAGAAACACCAAGACATCTCCTTTCTCCTTCCTCTCTTCTTCTTCTTTTCTTCTCCTTCTTTTAATCTTTCCTCTCCAATTTTCTTCTTCTTTTTATTATTGTTCTTGGATGAAGCTTGTATCTTGGATTCGACATTTGAATTGAGATTAATGGTAAGAATTTCATTCTCTTATTTTAATTCATGAATAATGATTAATTTGAGTAGAATGATCATTTGTGTTGAATTCAATATGCATAGCTAATTCATTTCACTAGGGATTGGGGAATG